AAAACAAGAAGAAAAGTGCAAGTAAGTCTACGTCCTGTGCTGGCGAGTGAGCCAGGGTCCCTTCTGGTGATGCCACACTGTACCTGCCTCCAGCTCACAGCCTAGTGAATTAGGGGAGGGGGGGTGAGTCTTACCCAGAGCAGCACCAGATGGGCCTCCCACCCCGCCAAAGAAAATGACATTCGTGAATGTGCAGTAGTCCAGCATAAAGATAACAGTTTAGCATAAAGACACAGTAAAACAAGATTATTCTGTAAGTGAGACAGTTTTAAGGGAAGAACAAGATGAAAGTAGAGGAGGGAAAGAAGAAAAAGCAAAAGGGAAGGAAAGAAAAGGCCCCAAATGACCCCACATGAAACACGGAGCCAAAGTTTCTTATTCACAAGTTGATGCAATTTGTGTTAAACTTGGAACGTTGAAGTGTGTGAGCCCTGGCCTCCAGTGCTGGAGTGGAGCCGTGAAAGTTGCTAGTTCCCTGAGAGCCAGGAACACTCTCCCCCCACACACACCTCGCACCTCTAAAGTCTTTCTGCATCTTCTTTAGGAAGAATTCCAGAGGCATTGTCATTCATTCTTTTTAAGGCATTTCTTTGAATTCAGTGAAGTCTTGAGATTTTGTTGGGAGGTTTGTGTTCACAGAGGCCGTCCTACTAGTAATGGAGCCATTGAAATTGTGGAACAGGATGCATTTTGGTTCTTTTAACTTGAAACATGATTTTAACTTGAAAATGATGGTTTTGAATTCTGAAAACAGTGGTTTTTAAATTCTCTTCAATCCGTTCTTGCAATGCAGAAGCAGCCGCTCTGTCCTGCGCCCTCACCTGTACTGGTGCTCACTGGCATGTGTGAGTGTGGGGGTGGGGACAGGAGGGAGGGTGGGGGGGAGATGCATTTTTTTTCTTTTCTTTTTTTGCTTTTTTTTTTTTTTTTTTTTTTTTGCTTTTTGGGTCACACCTGGCAATGCACAGGGGTTTCTCCTGGTTCATGCACTCAGGAATCACTCCTGGTGGTGCTCGGGGGGCCCATATGGGATGCTGGGAATTGAACCCCGGTTCGCCGCATGCCAGGCAAACACCCTTCCCACTATGCTATTGCTCCAGCCCCCTGGGAGATGCATTTCTGTCCTTCAGAAGAGACTAGTCTACAACTTGTTGCATTGAGGATAGGAAGGTGGACGTGGTTGGTCTTATCTTTCGAAGCCTCTATTACTAGGTGTTAGATCCAGGAGATAAGAGCAATCAGGTTCACCCTTGGCCCTCAGAGCTCAAGAATTGGCAGGTGAAAATGCAAGTAGCTGCTCTACAGTGGCCATTGTGATGTCCTAAGTTGCTTCAGGCCACAGAATGAAGCAAATAGGTACTTAGCAAAGGGTCAGACCCCCGGTCACCTTCTACAACACCCCACACCTCAGGAAAATTAAAGTTTATTCTGTATGTGAGATTTCAAGAGTTAAGCAACTTTTCCTCCCCTGCAGTTCTGACACATGACGAACTCTAGCGCGCACCAGCTTGTATGAAAAAGATGCAGCGAGAAGAGAAACCTGCCCCCTGCTGGAGATGTGTGGAACTACTGCGAAGACTTTGGGAAGTCCATTCAAGATCAGTGTCTTTAATTGTTTTAATATTATTTAAAACTACACGAGCTTAAGGTATTGAGTACGTGGAAGTCATATGAGAAAGTGCCACTTCGTATTTATAACCAGACTGTCCCTTTTTCCTTCCTGTGTCCAACACTGGGTTTCACCAGTCAAGTGGAATTTCATGAGAGAGGCCAGATGGAGGGAGCTGCATCAGAGCCGCTGGCCCGCCTCCCAGCGCCCAGCTCTGCATGTGTCCACATCTCCTTGTGCATCTCGAGAAGCAGCATAGTTTTTTTTTCCCTCCCTCTGACAATGAAAAAAGGACTTGCAGTTATCTCAGAAGAGCAAAAGAGCAAAACTGTTCTCCTTAGCTGCTGTTTTGGAATGGAGGTGGTGCAGCTCTGTAATCATTTACCTTCAACCCCATGCGCTATTTGTAAATATTTTCAGTGTTTCTACTTTTTCTTTCATAAAATGTTATAGAGGGCTTGTGGGATATGTTCTCTCTTTAAAAAAAAAAAAAAGACCTGGCTTGTTTCATGTTTTCTGGCTCGGGGGCCTCACCCAGCGGTGTTCAGGGCTTAGTGTGTTCAGGAATCACTCCTAGCAGGGCTCCAGGGACCCTCTAAGGGGCTGGGGACTGAGCCCAGGTCAGCCATGTGCAGGACCAGCACCTCCCCCGCTGTACTGGCACTCCAGCACTGGCGTGGTTTGTAGAACTCACTTAACAGCAGTTCGCTTGCCCGGTGTGTTCTGATAATCAATGACTAGGAAGCCACTCACAGTGCTCATCATCGCTGAACGCCCCCTGCTACTGGTCACTCAGAACCGGGCCAGACTCTGTCAGGGGACATTGGTCTGGCTGTTCCCGCCAGTGAGGAGGGGCTCATTCACCCAAGGACTCGGACATGCCTGAGCCAGGCTAGACCAGGGAACGGTCCGGATCAGGAAGCTTCTCACTGCCCACTCTTGGCACACGGCTCGGTGGACTGAAGCGGTTCTGTGTGGGTGGGAACACTTCCGAGAACCAGTAGTTCTTGGTGGGAGAGTGAAGGAGCGTGGCCGGGGTGGGGGTTGCTGGGCCAGGAGCTGGTGGCCCAAGCGTGCTGCCCCAGAGCTCTAAAACTTGGAAGCATGGATTAGAGCGAGGTTGTCGTTCAGCGCTCAGCAGCTCAGCGGGAGGCAGGATGGTGCCAGGATGGCAGTGCCCTCCGGCAGCTTATTAAACAGCCCACGGGCCCTGCAATTCCTGAAAAACTCAAGAGTGAAGCCTCTTGACCACTGAACCTTTGCATCGAGGCTCCAAGGTCGAAGACTCCCGGCCTCTTCCCGTCTCTGCTGACCTCCCTTCACTGCATGCAGATCCCCATGTATGAGAGAGAGAGAGAGAGAGAGTGTATGTGTGTGTGTGTCCCCAGTCATCCTTTAAATGTGATCAGATGTGAGAAAAGAGATTCTCAGAGTTGGAGAGGTTGGGTAAAGATAACTTCTAGTTCAGGTTTTGTCTTAATTTAACATGTTTTAATTGGGGGGGCGGGGGAGATCGGGAGAAAGAGAACAGTTATGCCACCAGGTTAGTAAGGTGAATCGGGAAGTGGCCCCGGTCTACACAGAGCTTCCAGTACTGTTGCCAGCACCCATACGCCGACATAGACCTGCCACACGGCCACACCTTCCAGATTCCTGCCGTCTCCTGATGGAAGGATGTTTGGAAAAGGTTCCCCTGCACGGAGTCAGTAATGTAGTGGGCTCCCTCACGTGGACACCCACACATACACAAGTGCCTGGAATGGGCTGGGCTCTCCTGGAGAACATACTAGGTATTGACAGAGCTAAATAAATCCCCAAGTGAAAATGCTATTAAGGGAAAAGCCTACCCCCAGTGGCACGCCAGAACAGACGCAGGTCACAGGAGGGCAAAGGATGGTCCTGGGTACCACCGTTTTGTCCCTCGGAGGATAAGTGGGATGCCCTGATGAGCCTGGCGGGTGTGCCAGCACTGGCCAGCTGATCCTCGGTGTGTCAAAGGGCTTGCCCTTCGTGTAGGGTAGGGAGCCAGCCTGGGCCGAGGGTGCCCCTGGTATTCCCACAGTCAGGGGGCTCCTGGCCAAAGGTTGTGTCCTAGCATGCCAGGGGGCCTTCCCTGGGCCCACCCCGGGGAGTTGCAAAGTGTCTGCGCTCTGCAGTTAACAAAGGCACAGGCATTTCCGGTAAATAATGGTGAATTTCTGCAAAATCCCACCAGGAGGTGCTGGAGCAATAGCACGGTAGGGTGCTGGCCTTCCACGTGGCCAACCTGGGTTTGATCCCCAAGGGTTCAACCTTATAGGGTTTCCCGAGATCCCTGACTGCAGAGCCAGAATTCCCTGAGCATCACTGGGTGTGGCCCAAAAGGCAAAAACAAACCCACTGCAAAGCCTGCAGTGAAGCAGTCACGTTCTTGTTGGCCGTCTCATTGCCCTGTGGAAGCACCTCAGGAAAGTGACGTCTCAGGGCACAGGCCCAGGGGTAGCTCATGGGAGACTGCACAGAGCACCACCGTCAGGGACGGACAGCACACAGACCTGCTGGCAGCTGCTTCTCTCTCAGCCGAGTGCAGTTCACTCCGCCTTCCTCCAAGGCTTTGGAACCAGCTTTGCCATCTCCCAAGGGCACTGCTCATCACTGGGGATGCCTCTGTCCGAGGGATGCCCAGGAGACAGAGTGAGGCCAGCCAGCCTGGAGTCACTCAAGAGGCCACCCTTTCCGGTCAGCCCCAGGCTTGGGATGGGGTGTTTGGCTCGAGGACAAATGCATTTGCCCTTTATGCTTCTGCTGACCCCTCAGGCCGAGGAAGGATTCACAGAGCCGGTAAGGGGGTACAGGGGGCTGGGGCTGAGTGCTGTGTTTTCAGATACAATGGTCGGGTTTCTTTTTCCCAGAGGGGAGGGGGGGGAAGAGGGGAGAGGAGAGAGGGGAGAGGAGAGAGGGGAGAGGGAGAGAAGAGAGAGAGGGGAGAGAGGACAGGAAGAGAGAGATTCCTCCTTCGCTCCACGCTCCCACCCTCCTCCCACCTCCCACAGAGTTCTCCCGAGACAGGGCTACTCGCTTCCTTGCAGCGACACGAAAATAATCAAGAAACTAAAAAGTTCTACGCTGCAGTCCTCTGCCCTCCTGGACTCTAGAACTGAGAAGTGCTGGGCTTTGGACACCCGAGCTCAGCCGAGGTGCTCCCCTACCTTGCCCCTGCCAGCCCTTCACAGAAACACAGGTTTCGGGTGCAGACTCTGGCTCAGAATGGTGCATGCCGGGATGTGACCAACCTGCCCCCCACCCAAACCTCAGACCCATCTCCGCTCCCGTGAAAGGGCACTTGCCACCTCCTGTTTCCCACGGTGGCCTCAGACTCCATGGAAAGATGAAAAGATGAATCAAAGCCAAGTGCTGATTTGATCATAAATATTTTTATTAAATGTGAAAATACATGGGCATAAAAATAGTACCCATATCTGCAAACGTGCCTGAGACCCCTCTCACGTTCAGATCCTTGACTACGCCAGTGAGCCGGGCAGGAATGGCTCACTCATTTGGGGCGGAGACCCACGGCTACCCCCTCCGTCTCTGGGCTCACCTCCGAGGGCAGCTGTCACCGCAGGTAAGAGGGTCAGCCACAGGCCACAGCAGCAAACCCTGTTACTGTACACAGAGCCACGCAGTGGCCAGTTTTATTCTTGAATCATTCAGCAAATGAGATCATTTAAAATAATAAAAAAAAAACAAAACTATCCCCACTGATTAACATTTGCAATTACAGAGTAAGCCCGCTCCTTCAAGGAAACGCTTGGTTCTGAATACCCTGTCCCTTGGTGTCCCTTGGTGCCAGGGGCCTTCCTCCCACCCTTACGAGTACAGATGGTTGCCCTCGTGGGTGCCCACCGGAGCCAGGCAGACGCCACTCCAACCTGCTGAGCCACATCACACGTTAACAGAACATCATTCGCCGTCCCCACGAATGGAAAATGGGATTCCCGTCAAACGGTGACTCCCATTGCCTCTTCTGCTCTTAAAACCACTTTCAAATCACAGTGCTTCCAAGAACTGTGGGTAGTTCCTTCTCTCCTTCCATCCCCTCAACAAGAGTCCCCCAAAGTCCTGTTGGATACTGCTATGGAGTTCCGAATACTGACTCAAGGGAAAGGCGCCTACTGCTGAGGATCGCTAGTCCCAATTCGTATTCCTCTACCGCCGACGTGGTTTGCCAGTTTGTTTTCCCAGGGGACGGGGCAGCCCACGGCTCCAGGTTCCCTGGCGACAGCTTCCCCATGTTTACGGGCCCCTGTCATGTGCTTAATACTTGCTGGTGTGGAAAACCTCAAGCCGTAGGCCCAGGAGTTCCCCTCAAAGGCAGGGAGGCATCTGAGGCGGGGCCGGCACACCCAGATGACTCTCCCGAGAGCCCCCCCAGAGCCCCCCAGCCCCTCAGCCACTGTGCTTTCCTTCCGGCGGGGCCCTGGGAGGGCTCCGTAGCCCTTTGAGTTCTCCTGTGGGCAGAATGGACGGCGGGAGATGGCGGGCACTGGACACCACGGCTTCCTTCTCATCCCTGAAGGCAGGCAGGTCTGCGCAATGCGGTGACAGTCACTGAGAAGAACCGCCTGAGACTCAGAGATAGAGCGATGGGGGCCCCTGTGGGCCACAGCGGTGGGGGACACAGGTGGGAGTTGCCATCCCCATTCCCTCTGGCCCGCTAGTCGTGGGCAGACCAGCTGGCTGCCTCCTCGGTGTCTCCTGACAACTGCAGACTCCTTCAGCGCGCTCAGGGACACCCTCTGTGGAAGAACTGCCTGGAACGAGGAGCTGCAGCTGCTGACAAAGTGATGACTGGGGGGGAAAGAGTCGGTGATGTCCCTGGGAAAGGGTTTTCCGTAGTGGCTCGGATGTCTGAGGCGTGAGACCAAGTGCAGGCTGGCCCAGGGTCTTGCCTGACGCAGCTTGACGTGTGTCGATGAGAGAGACACAGCAAGCGCCGCTGTCAATCAGGAACTGGCCGGAGTTTTCTTTCTCACGTAGGAATTTCTGCTACGTAGCTTCCAGGACGACCGAAAGGAGAAGAGGATTTGTGCTTGGCTGTTGTGGACACGGGGGGCCAGCAAATGCCTCCCGCGACCAAAAATCAAAATGCTCCATTTCATACGAACAATAAATTAGATCCAGACTACTTAGAATGCTGAGGCAAAGGAAAAAAAAAAACTTTTCAGAAGAAAGGTGTCATGATTCTTATCTAAAGGAATTCTTAGAATCTAAACGCAGCATCAATAGTACCATAAATATTTAATGTTCTTGACTAAAGTAACACTTTTTTTTTAAAGGGGAAAAATTACACAGTTTACAAAGACTTGAATAGTGCGTTTCTTAAGAGAAGGTGTCTTAGGAAGAGATGCGATCCAGAGCTGAAGTGCAGGCCGAGCTGGCTGCTTTGTAAACCTGGTTTTTTTTTTCTCTCTGCACAAGAACATCTCGAGGCATCGAGGTCTGAAAAGAGGCAGGTCCGGCGGGGTGGGGCGGGGGTGGGGGGGTGGGGTGCCCTAGACGCCCCTAGACGTCCCCTGGGGCGAGGGAGAGGCTGCCTCGCCTGGTGGTGAGAAAGGGGAGCGGGATTCTGCCGACTGAGGAACTAGACATTCTGAGCCAATCCTGTTACAGGAAATTGTGTTCAACTGACTCCAGTTAAAAAAGTATTTCAGTTCTGCACTGCAACGGTAAGTTTAAATACCACTGCATAGTATTTTAATATAGATCCGATTTACTGTGTTCACATTAAACTGAAGGGCCGGGGTGGGTGGGGGCGGGGGGTCATAATTATATCGCAGTGGTCTTCCGTCATCTTTGGCCGGCACCAAAATCAAACTTGGAAACTTTCAAGCGGATGAACACGGCGTCACCCGAAGCCCAGACCTGCTGCCCTCAGCAGCCCCCTGGGGAGCGGGTCTCCCAGCAGATGGACTCCGTCCACCAGCTCTGTGACCTGCGTGTGCCGTGCGTGTCCGAGGCGGTTCCATCACCCAACGGGTCTTGGCAGGAGGCGGGGCCGCCCCTTCCCAAGGGCCCAGCGAGCACAGACACACCTGGCGGGGAGGTGGGGAGGCAGGGAGAGAGCTGAGCACTGCCAGGAGGAGCCCGCCTCGGGCCCCTCACCAGCCCGCCGGCCCCCTGCTGACCCCACAGAGGGCCAGAGATGGCTCCTGTCAAAAACAACTCTTTGGTCATGGACAAAAACTGAATGACTGGAAAACGTTTTCGCTTAGGATCCTGGAACACAAGGTTGGTTTGTGTTTAATCTTTTAAAAACTCGTGGGGAAGTGCAGAAGAAGAACGGTTGGTTTAATTGAAGTGGAATTTGAATCGAAACGGTCCGCCTGAGCCGAAGGGGTTGAACCCCTGCCATGAGTTCCAGCTCCTGTGGAAAGGGTTGCCACCACCGCCGCCCTGCTGGCTCTCTGCGTCCAGGGGGTCTTCCCCATCGTCAAACTTCTTCCGCATTTCTGTAAGAAGAAGCCAGCCATGAAGATCCAGCTGCTGGGGGGGTGAGGAGGGTGGGGTGGGGGTGGGGAACGGGGACATGCACCTCTTCCTCGACCCTCGCATGGACCAGATGGCCAGGCCACCGGGGGCTCACTGGAACACAGGCCCCCTCATCTCTCCTCACCAAGGGGGCTCTCCAAACCCTGACCATGCAGTCCCAAGCGACGTCAGCCTGGGGCTGCCCCATGCTCTCCTGCCCCCGTGGTGCCTTCCTAACCACGCTCTCTAAGCTTGCAGGAACAGGCCAGTTGCTCCTTAAGCTTGCGGGAACAAGCCTGTCACTCATCTGTGTGGCGGGAAGGAACCAGAGGCCCCCCACTACCGACAGACTACTGAAAGCCCAAACATTTTTAGTTGTCTCTGGCAGAGAATAAGGCGATGAGGCGTCGCCCTGCTGTGTGCCCGCCGGGGGACCCAGCTCTGTCCACTGCAGGCTGGACACCGCCCCCAGGCCTGACCCTGCCCACTGTGCCCAGAGGAGAGCAGCCCCGCCCTGGCACCTGGGTCCGAGAGCACTTCCTTCGCGGCTGCTATGTCAATAAACTTTTTCTCCGCCTTCTTCTTCTCCTCTTCGTTCTGGAAGTTATCCGGGTGCCACTGCAGAGCTAACTTGCGGTAAGCCTTAATGATTTCTTGCTTTTTGGCGTTTCTGAAAGGATGATTGTGTTATGGTCATGATTACTGCATGTGCCCACAATTCCATTAAAAACAAAGCCAGCCAAGACCCAAGACCCCTGCCCTCCCCTCAGCCCCCCAATAAGTGAGTGACCCAGCTGTTCCAACAGTGCCAAGGGGCTCACTCACAGGCAACATTGCCCAGTTCTGGCAGGTTGGTCAGGGACTCAGCCTCCCTCAGACATGCATTCATGCCAATTAAGACCCCACTGGGAGGAAATGTAAGGGCTCACAACCCGGGATAGACCCTCCTGGAAACTGGGATTTTTGGTTTTGTGTGCTCAGGACTGACTCCTGGCTTGCAGTCAGGGATCACTCCTGGCAGTGCTTGGGGGACCATCTCGGGTGGCAGGTGTCAAACCCAGGTTTGCATGCAAGGCAAACGCTCTACCTGCTAGAATTTCTCCGGCCTCTACACTTGGAATTTCTAAGCCACCAGGATTCCAATCTTGGCTTTAAAAGAGATGCTTCGACTCTTTGAGCCCCGTGTGAATCTTGCTTCTGGATTCACGTCAAGAGCAGAATTTTGGGCTCGACTGAAAGGTGGCCGCCAATCCACGCGTTGGGGAACGCATTCCCCACACAGAGCACGGGCTGAGCGCTCCCTCCCGCCTCTGCCCGCCTTGCGCACTGTTACCCCTGGACACACCCGGGGTCCCCAGCAGAAAAAAAGCCCCATTCCAGATCGCTTTAAGCCTTGAAGCCGTTCACAGAAGGCAGAAGTTTTTAACTTCATGATTAGAAAAAAAACATGCCAGATTTTAAATAGTAGTTCACCTTTTCACTCCCAAGATTTTATAATAATCTCGCTTCTGTGACTGTTTCAGTAGTCTCTGGGCTTTTTCTAGACCTTCCCGAATCTGCTGGTCATTCTCGTTGTGTTCCTGAGCGGTTTCGTAATCCTGAATAGCTGTCAGAACACACAGGAGAGAGCGTGGTTACCAGGAGCTCCTTGGGCCTGTCCTAAAGCCACACCCACCCCTCCCCACCCCACCCCCACCCCCTATGCGCCTCACAGGCAGAACGCCACTCTTCCACTGGGAATGAAGGCTGCGCGCTGCGTCCGCCCCGCACTCGCACTCCTGAATCCTGTGGAGCCAGTCCTGAGACCCCGCTGTCTGGTGCCCCCCATTCACAGTCTGAGGCAGTGCTGTCTGGAGCCCCCGTCCACTTGCTCTCCTGAGGTGCTGCTGTCTGGCCACTTGCAGGCCCCCCTTGCAGTCCCCTCAGCAGCTCTTGGCCTGAAGCAAGATGCTTGCAAGGCCAGCTACGGCTGCATAGTTCCAAAGACTATGGGGCCACAGAAGTACCTCACGTGGCAGAACTCCTTCCTGCATGCACAAGGCCGGGAGTCACTGCCCAGTACTACACAGACACCCTCCCCCTCCCCCCCCGCCAGTCCCCAATAATTATCTTTTACCAGCCACACACGATAGCATAGCGGTAGGGCGTTCGCCTTACAAGCGGCCAACATGGCCGACCCGAGTTCGATTCCTCCGCCCCTCTCGGAGAGTCCGGCAAGCTACCGAGAGTATTCGATATGCCAGACACAGTAACAACAAAGTCTCCAATGGAGACGTTACTGGGCCCGCTCGAGCAAATCGATGATCAACAGGAGGGCCTTTACCTTTACCTTTACCAGCCACACACAGGCTCCAACAAACTATTACAGGATTGCTTTCAAGTATTCACAACACACACCATCCTGGTATGAATTCTAATGAGGGTCTTCCTTGCATCTTTTCCCCTGGGATTCAGTGTACCTGGCTGGTGCCCTGCGAACACCCCCTCTGCAACCCAGCCCTCGGTGCTCAGATGTTGCCCACAGCACCGCCTAAACTGTCCCATGAAAAGCAGAGCTGGGAGATGGTTCAACTCCAAACAGCCACTGTCTCTTATTTCTTCCAGCAGGGGAAAAAGTAGGGTTGTATGTTACTTCCTAGAGTCACAGGGTTACAGGCAGCTAATAAACTTGTTTATTTAAGATTTCCCGTGAACATAAACTAGATGTACTATTTTATATTTTCTCGGATTTCATAGTCTAACGGAGAACTGTCAAAAGAAGAAATGAGGGGCCGGACTGCTAGTCCAGCGGGAAGGGCACTTGCCTTGTACGTGGCCAACCCAGGTTCGATCCCTGGCACTACATTCTCTGAGCCTTGCCGTGAGTAATTCGGGGGGGGGGGGGGGGCAGGAGGAACCCCTGAGCATCACCTGGTGTGGCCAAAATAAATGAAAAAAGAAAAGAAGTAACACCCAACTATATTTCTCCTGTAATGGAGCAGCCACGAAGAGTAGAAGAAAATAATAACCCAGACATACTAAGACCATCACTGAATTATCAGCCAAGTCACATTTTGAATCCAGAGACTGTCCCCTCCCCAGGCCTCTTCCGGTGTTCTGACCTGAGGCATCCGAAGGCACAGTGTACCCCAGCAGAAGGAGAAGCAGAGGGCAAGCATCGGTCCGCCCACCCTCACCCCGCTCTCCCACCAGAACAACACAGACGAGAAAGAACCCTCAGGAAGCACCCCCAGCTGGGGACTGATGTCTGAAGGAGAGAAAGCGGCCAATGGGATAGCACCGAAGAAACTCAAGTGGAGAGCCACATCCCCGCACACGCCAAGGGGCAGGGGCAGGAGCGGTCTTCCGGGCCCCCTCGGGAGAGCAGGGACTGGCAGCAATGGGGAGCGGCCACAGCAGAAAGGGTGGGGCAAATGCACAGCCCACACCGAGACTGGGGATGAGGGGGAGGCAGAACCTGGTCAGGCACGACCGCCACACAGACCCTCAGCGGCATGAACAAGGTCCTGCTCGTCTTGCCCATGGGCTGGGACAGCAGGGGAGGCCTACCTGGGCCCAGTCTCCCTGAGGGAGAAGCACTTCCACAGTGCAGCCCACCCGCAAAGGAACCCCTGTCCCCCACAGCGCAAGCCCACTGGCAGACACCAGCCGCCCTCTGTGACGGATCCAGGGTCCGAGAAGGGCTGAGCACAGGCATCATCCCCGCCCCCGCACCAGGAGCCAACGCAGAGCCCTGCCACCTGTGGCCCAACACCATGCCCAGAATTCAGTCAGTCCTCACCATTTCATGCTTCTGAACTGACGACTCCCCAGATAACTCTGAACCCCAAGTCCTTTCTCATCATGAGGACCTGGGATCCTCTGAAAAGGACAGCAGGGGCCGGGGAGAAGGGACTGCAGTTGGGGGCATGTGCCTGGCATGCAGCCAACCCAGATGGCTCCCTGAGCCCCACCAGGAGGGAGCTCTGTAAATCCTGAGCACAAACGAGTAAAACCCCAACACCCCAAAATAAAAACTACCCAGACCTCCTCCAACTTCAATAGGCTCCATGGAACCAACTTTCTTCCCATCCTAACAAAGTTTAAGGTGGGGGGAGCGGGAGTGCCAGGGAATGGGACATCAGGGATGCTCACACAAGACGACAGGGCCGTGAATGCAAGGCCCCAGCGGGGACAGATGGAGGGAACCGACTGGGCAATGGTGATGGACAATGCTGGCAAGTCACTTGCCACGAGTCTGGGCCCACCCTGACCACACACTCCCAGCAGCAGGATGCAGAGGGCGTTGGGGGCAGGATGCCCTGGGTGAGGGCCACAGCCTCCGGATGCAGAGGGCGCTGGGGACAGGGTGCCCCGGGCGAGGGCGGCAGACCAAACAGCCCATCTCGGGGAAAATGGAAAACGGGAGCGAGTTGTTGCCCTGGAGGGGAGGGGCTCACCCTGAAGGCCAAGGACACCCCCTCTGGTGGAGCAAAGGAAGCCGCCGACCTCCTAGACTCGCCTGGTTCAGAGAAGCAGAGAGGGCGGGGCTAGAGAAAAGCCATTTTAGCAGGATGCACAAGGTCTGTGGAAACAGTGAAGCAGATAACAGACTGGTAAGTAGAGAAGGCTGCGTGCCCGGCACCCCCTTCCCCATATGCAGGTGGACACACGCACTCATGAGCCCACGCGCACACGCGCACACGCACGCACACCACTTCCCCTAGCAGCCAGGGAGCTAGGGCAGAACCGCCCCTGGGGTACGATGCACAACGATAAACTTTTTGGTAACAGCACCGCATCCATTCAATGCTACTGAATCTTTGTTCCTACAGGTAGAGCAGCATAAACTTATGTGAAGAACAAGCACCAGAAAAAAGAGCGCCCTAAATACCTAAAAGTTCTGGAACGAACCTGATGGCACACACTCTTACACTCAGACCCAGAAGGGTAGAGTACAGTAAGCCTGGAGTGAGCACGGCGGTCAGAGCCCGGGCAGAGATGCAAGGAGGGTGTCAGAACTGCAGGAAACGGAGTCAAGTGGCCACAGAAGGGAAGAGGCCATGACAAAGGGGTCGAGGCAGGGAGCCGCGTGGGGAAACTGAGGACCAAACAGAAAGAAGTTGACAGGGCCAGAGCGACAGGACAGCAGGTAGAGCACCTGCCTAGCATGTGGCCGACCCAGGTTCAATCCCTAGTATCCCATGTGATTCCCCTGAGCACTGCCAGGAGTAATTCATGAGTGCAGAGCCAGGAGTAACCCCTGAGCATCACTGGGTGTAACACCCCCCTCCCAAAAAAGGAAGGGAAACAAATTATTTTTGAAAGACCAGAGATAGAAATTTTGCCTGGAGAGTCAAAGGGCCTAGAAACTGAGCAAAAGTGGGCCTTTGGCAGGGAAAACCAAACCAATGGCTCAAAGGGCCGGGCACATGCTTCAGCCCAGCATAGGTCTGAGGGGACAGCCCAGGGCACAGAGCCAGGAGGGGCACCTCCAGAGGTGGCCACACTAAAGTCTCCCCGAGATCCTAGCTTCACTCTCGTCAGAGTCGAACGCTAAGGTCATGTTGGGCTGTCAGACCAGAAAAAACACCTGCACCACATGGCCCCACGGGGATATCGGGGCTGGAAAGGTCAGAAGCGAAGACGGCCAGGAAAGGATGACCGAGCAGGCCCGCCAGCCAGCCCAGGCACGCATGGGCAAAGGACGGACGTCTGCAAACAGGCACTGCCCGACGGGGGAACGGGAGGAAGGGTGTGGCTGGCAGGAGCCCGAACGCCAAGGCAAGTCCAACAGGAAACCCACTGCCCAGGATGAAGTGGGAGGTGACGGCGGGGGGGGGGGGGGGGGGGGGGGGGGGGAGGGGGAGACGTGCTCAGCCTCTCTGATGAGAAACAGCTTCCCTAGCTAAGCACAGGAGAGCGGGCTGAGAGAAACTATAAATGCAGCCACGAAAAATGCAACGCTTCCTGTTCCTGCGTGCTCAACTGGTCATAACACCTGGGATATCTCATATATATATATATATTTCCCCCCCCAAAAAAAATACAACCCCTGGAAAATACATGTGCACACACTGCAACCAAATGTTAACACATACCCCTCCCTCAACGTGCACACACATCGTCACAACACAGACAAGGGGGAGAAAGGGCTTGCTTTTTTATTTTTAACTACAAAGAATTTCCTTTCCTCTCAGAGGAGGAAGGTTTGAAGCGTGCACTAGCCCTTCTCAATCAGGGTGCAAGCAGTCTCACCAAGGGGCTTCACAGAGCTGGGGCAGAGGCTGTAAGTCCAGGCCTGGGCAGGCTTCCTTGCGGGGTGGTGGCCTTTCCCTGTCCCAAGACCACTGCAGTGGGCACACTTGATCATTAACCAGCGAGCCTCTGGCCAGCCCCTGTCCTCCTCACACCTGCCCTCTGGCACCCCCAAGAAAGGCCACCTAGAACTGTTCCCTGCCCCGCCTCCGGATTTCTGTCCTGGGCTTCCCCCCCACCCCCCACTTCCCTTCCCTCAGGTGTTTGCTTGCAGCCTTCTAAGCTGCAATGGTCTGGAAATCACCTGCTCAACCATCCTGTCCTGTCGGCCTGAGCTGTGCTACCGCACACAGGGGCAGACCCGATTTC